TGGTTATCAGTCCTACATACTTAAACATACAATACTCATTTCTTGAGTTCTTATTGAAAACAATTCTTTCTGAGGTAAGATGGAATCTCAAAGTTTGTGTGCTTTGAGACAAAGTCTCACTATGTAGTTCAGACTGGTCCTGAACTCACTATGTAGCCCAGGTTGTCCTCAAATTCATGGCAATCCTCTTGACTCAGCCTCCTAAGTGCTTGGACTATAGGTATGTGCCACCACATTACCTTTCAATTGTGTTTTAATTTGTATTTCCTAATGGACAGAGATGTTAAATATTTTTTTTTTTTCATTTAACGTGCCTTTTTTTTTTTTGTCTTTTTCCTTTTTATCAGTACCGGGGATCGAACTCACGACTGCCCTCTTGCAAGGCAAACACTTATGCCGCTGAGCTAAATCCCCAGCCTCTCCACTTGCCCATTTTTCAATTGGATCTTTCATTTTAGGGTATTTAATTTTTAGGTCATTTAAATAATCTAGATATTAGTACTCACCAAGGAATAGGGACAAATTTTTTCCCATTCTATAGATTGTTTCTTTACTTTGTTTCTTGTTTCTTTATTGTATAGAAACTTTTAAAAATATTATTTGATTCCTTCTGTTGATTCTTGGTATTATTTCTTATGCAACTGGTGTTCTGTTCAGAAAGTCCTTGCAAATGACTGCTTTTTTCCATTATTATCATAAATGCTGCATCAAATTTTCTCCTGTAATCATCAAGTATTTCTTTGTAGATTCACTTATGATACTTGTATCATTTTCCTTTCCTGCAAATCTTAAAAATAAAGCCCTTAGAATGCAATGCAAACTTCTTACATTCAATCTTGCCATTGCATACACTAGAGTGGTAAAATATTTTATTGATGATGCATTAACACTTGAATTTCATGCACTTAATTAACTTTAATCTAAAACTGAAGATTCAAAAGCAAAGTAAAAATCGAAAAAATGAGTTTTTTTTCATTTATCTGTATTTAAAACTAGTTTCTTTTATCTAGAGTACATCTCCACTCTTTCTTTGACAGCCTAACTTGGGTTTATCATGTTTAGATGTTTTATGTATGTTATATACACTTTAAAAAATAAATCCCAAATGCTCAAACTCAACATCAAAATCTTAAAAATATACACTCAAACTACTTTTAAACCTTGCATTTATAATTCAACACAAAACTATTTCCATTAACTCTCCCTAAAGCAATTCACAATTTTCAGCTTTTAATATTTGATACCAGACATTTTCAATCATCGAATACTCTACATTCTTCACCCGTTTAACGGCGTCAAATTTTCACTCATCCTTCAAGTCCACATCAAATATTTCTTCAAGGAAAAATTTCCCAGAACACTTCAGCATAGCACAATTTTTTTTTTATCTTTGATTCCTTGCAGTATACACAAGTACTTAAAGGTTATTTTAATTTGGTTAAGTTGAGCAAAAATAACTAAAGAAACAAGAGCACAAATATGCACTACCTAACTTTATTCAATTGCATATGTTATTAGAAGAAGTGAGGATTGTTTCATAAGACTGAAGGAAAAGCTGAACAACCATAGTGAGCCAGATATGAATATTTAAGGACTGCTACAAAACTTAGAGACATTTCAACAGAAAACAACATTTATGAATGTCTTAACCTTCTCATTGTATGAGTTGAACTTCAATGCCTCAAGAGAAACACTGGTCAAGACCTCCAGTTCTTCCACTATAAGCGGTGTACAAATAAGAGATCTAACGGTGTGCACCCATTGAACCACAATGGAAAAAGCAAACTTCCAGATATAGCATCTCCCCAAGCAGAAAGAAATGCTGCTCTTCCAGGACTCCTGGACAGCATGTCAAAATGGCAAAAACAGTAAGAAATAACTGAATCCAGTAGATAACACATTAATATGTTAAACAGTTACTTTTCCTTGATAGTTACTAAACTTCTCCTAGAATAAGTTATATTTCTCATTAAAGTAAATATTTTCGAGAAGTTTCATGCTTGTTAATAAGACTTTAAAGCATTCTATATTTCAGGACTTATTCTCTTATACATTCCCTACTATGAAAATTGGCAGGTAATTTTACTATAATGTGAATAATTATGTTATTCCATGTATGTGTAAATATGTTGATAATATATATTCATATATATGTATATATATACATATATATATATGCTTATATTCTCGCTTTTTCACATCTCAATGAAGTTCAGTTCATCAAGCATATATGCTTATTTTGTAAAGGAATTGTACCAAATTCTAGGGACCAAAGATAAAAACAATGTTGTCCCTGCTTTCATGTCTGGGACTTTTATGTTTTATAGTTTGAGAAAAATAATTACCATAATAAATCATAATCTCTCAACAAGTAAAATTCTTCTGATTAATTCTTGAATTTACAATGCCCAGGAAGTTGAAGAATATTTTCTTTAAACCAACAGGGATAAAAGAAAAATTCTCATAAAAGCAAATATCTAAAACCTATTTCTTTAGTCTTCATGTAAAAAAGAAACTGGGAATTATTTCTTTATTTGCATTGTTTTATGTATGCAGTTAACTATAAATAATCCTGTTTATAATTATATTTTCAGAAACAAAACATTCACAAATAATATTCAGCATGTAATTTCTTTCAGTGTTAGTTTTTTTCTTGATTTCTAACTTTTTTGAAGCCATTTCTAAACAAGTATATGCAAAAACACTTTGTCTTTTCATTGAACTATATTTATTTAACTAGTAGTTATTGAGTACTCACTGTGTATAAGTCAAATGCTAAGATTTTTTGGGACCAGAAGCTGGAGAAATATATCATATATCCTAACTAGTTGAATTTTCCATGGAGAAGTGTTAGTTTCATCACTATGACAAATATCTGAGATCTTGAGTTATAAAGAGAAGAGTTTTACTTTGGCTCATGGCTTCACAGTTACTAGTTTGTGACCAGTTGGCCCCTATTTTTAACCCAGAAAAGCCAGCACATCACATGATAGAGCAAAACCTCCACCTCATGGCCAAGAAGTAGGCAGGTTCCCACTGTCCCGTCTAAGACACACCCTCAATGTCCTTCCACCAGGTTCCATCCCTCTTACCTCCCCATCTCCACAGTCTAGGAATCAGACCTTTTTTCACAAAGATTGTTGGATGACATTGATTAAGATGATGACAAGATGATAAATTATATCCACAAATGCTTTTGTTCTACTGAGTACTTGAAAATGGTTGTAAGCAGTTAAAGAAACTGCAAGAGAGTTCAGGTATTATGCATATTCTATATATTATGAATAGGAAAATTTCCTCAGCAACAGTATTAGAGGAGCCAGGATTAAGACCTTCATTCACTCCTCCTAGCACTGCCTCTGCTCTGTCTTCTCCTCTCACATCTAGTCATTCCTTAGAATCATGGCTTGCATCATCACTGACTCTGTTCTTGTTGCCATGAAAACTTCAGTATCTTTAACATTCTAAGATCAGCTTATTCAAATTAAATTTACTTCACTTGTAATAGTTTCAAAGCACCATGCTAAGAAATGTCATTACAAACAGTCTCTGCACTTAAGGAATTCAGAAACAAATAACTGAAAACAGTCACAGAAGACTTTGGACAGTATGCTGTAAGAACAGTAGTGAATTGTGTGCACAGCTATCTGTGATCCAAGCAGACTGCACAGTGTGAAGAAGTGACCTCCAGAGAAGGTTACAATAACCAGGACAAATACTGGGTGTTCAAGTGGAACATCATACTTAAGAATAGTGCTGTAGAAATAGGAAACATTAAAATGTAAAAAAAAAAAAATCCATATGACTCTTATTTTTTAAAACTCACACTGTTGTTACTATATAAATATTGACATCAACTACTAGTGTTAAATATCTCCTTTCAATCTCCAGTTTAAAAAATATTGCTAGTTTAATATTTTCTAAATCTCTGTAAGATTTCTGGCAGAAAAATAAAAGAATGTAGATCACCTGATTACTGATAAGAATTTACATGTGAATTATGAGTTAGTAATGCATGATTTTTCTCAATAATTTTTTGTTAACAATAAAAAGCCTAGAATTTTTGCTGGAGAGTGAAAAGAATGCACAAAACTCCATGAATAACACTGAATTTTTAGTTGACTGGAAGAAGAGAAGGTTGATCTTTTACATCAAGCTTTTGAACCCGCAGGTTCAAAATACACTGCCCTACTGTCTATGTCTATAGTAGCTACTTTCTACTACAATATATTAGTTATATTCAAAAACCATAAACATAATTTCACTTGACCACTCATCATGATTTTAAAAAAAATAAATTACAAATGCTCAATATATAATCCATTTATCTTAAGGAATAAATTTAAATAAATACCTACTTAAAGTACCAATTTATTAGAAGTAAGGGTCTCTAATTTATTTGGCAAGCATAACTCAGTGTTTAAGTATGGCTAATGTGTTCTAATAGTGAATATTTTGAATCATTAAATTTGAATTTCATAAAATTCATTTTAATCCTAGTAATATAAGCAAAAAAATAACAATTTTATAGTGAGATAACGTATCAGCGTGCTTCAGGATGCTACCAGATCTCATATTTCTTTTTACCAATGGAATGATAGCAATTGTTGCAGGAATAATCATTCTTCTTGGGACCTTTCATCACTTCACAAGTACTGGACAGATACATAAGCATTGCCATGGTAGCAATAATTAATATATGTAAGCAGGGAGACATTTGTGTTTGCAACATGAAGAACAGACTCCAGTATAAAAACTCAATACGAAAGCTATAGAGACATGTCAGTTACCTATAAATATGCAACAAATTACCCCAAAATTTAAAACTGTAAATGATAATAATCATTACTACTCAGTTTCAGCTGTGCATGTATTCAAGAAAGACCTAGCAAGATACTTCTCCATAATGTCTGTAATATAGATAGCAAAATTCAAACCCAGGCCTAAAAGTATTTAAAAGCTAATTCCCTCACATATTTGATCACGATTCCGATACTTACCTATATTTTGAGCTGGGACTGTCACCAAAAGCATGAGTTCTCTACGTGAAAACGGCAGAACTTCTAAGAAAAAGAAAGAAGCCAGGTAACAATGATAGTTACATCTCAATAGTCACACCACATCACTATACCACATTTTATTGGTCAAAGAAGACCCATATGCCTGAGGACATCTGTCAATAAAACAGACCAGCACCACAGTGTAAGCAGAGCAATTAGCAAATATAATGAGGGTGTATATGGTGCGCAGTCACAGGAAAATGATCTTCAGACATGGTAACAGAAGTTCAGGATGTTATTTTCATGGCATTCTGAATTGGAGCATGGATTATTTTGCATGGAAAATATACTAGAAGTAATATAAAATAGTTTTACCACCATTAATGCTCTGTGACCAACTTGTCATCTGGAGCAGGAATACTTTTACATGGCTTGACATCTGCTGCCATTCATAATAATACAGTTTCTACCATATATATACATATATGTACAATAGAAGCTATTATATACATTATATATTTATACAGTATATATTATATATTCATAAATGATGGAAACTGTTATATAAACATGTATATATGTATATATGTTGTATATAGTATGTGATATATATGTGTGTGTGTGTGTGTGTGTGTGTGTGTGTGTGTGTGTGTGATTCCTGAAATTCTCAGGGCTTACATTAAATTACCTGAAAATTGTGAAGAACCTCGAAATTCAGATATAGTCAGAAAAATGTGTATTTTTATAGTTTAAAATCCTAGATATGCTGTCTCCCATAGTTATATCATTTACTGCAATAAAGTACTGTACTGATGAAGTCTTAAAGCTGAAGAGCATTTGGTGGCATCTTGGGGAATCTTAGGGCTTTAACGTCAAAATCAAGAACATTGGAGACACTACACGGGGCACAGCAGCCAGTAGCAGGGAGGACTGAATAACGCTCTGGGATTGGCTACATGCAAACCTCCCACCACAAAAAATTAATAATAATAATAATAATAATAATATCTGCAGTTTCCAGAAAAATGCAGAGACTTCCATGCACAATTATTAATTCCGTTCTCAGGAAAAGTCCTGGAGGGACTGCGAACTCAGACCCATTCATTCTGAACACTCCTGACTTTGTGTAGTTTATTCATATTTCTTGCCAACTACTTCAGGAGCAGAATGTGAACTTGTAGTTCAATGAAATCCTACATATGCACTGTTGTGTTTGCTCTTCTCCCTCAGCTCTCTCCTTCTCATGCCAGAATTCCATTTCTACATGCCACAATGAATAGTACTGTAATCTATTCATCATGGGTGAAAGTTTAATGGAATGTGTGACTTGCACCAGTAAATCTATATTCCCAAACCACACATCCCAACAGAATCCTAGGATAGTATTAGTGTTTTTAAGTGAGAAACTGCTACTAAAAGTGCTAAGAACGTAAGAACTAGTTATTGCTGGAATATCGTGCAGTTACTATGACCCCGAAAACAGTGTCTCCAAAATTGACTAAAGCAGCCACTCTCTGGATTAGCGATTGGTGAATATGAAACCCTTTTATGTGGATTAATGTTTCTAACACCTGTCCTTGGTCTATCATAAACAACCATCACAGTCAAATTAGCATCACTTAGCAGTGCTGTATACTGACACAATTATTTAAAAGTTTCCTATCCTCTTGTCAGAAAGATCTCTGTGACACTGACTTATCAATACTCTGCAAAAATGTTCTGTGACTTAATGTTGATAACAATAAGCCTCCAGATGATAATATAGCTAGCTTAGAAAATATCTCATGTCTTTAAGGATCACTTATTTAAAAAGTATATGTAAATGATTAAAAATAATTACAATTATCAATTTGCACCAAAAAAGGCATATCAGGGCTTATGTTCCTAACACAGAAAGCTATTAAATTTGACTTTCATATTAAATTGCAATATATATCCCCAGAGAATAGTAATTGAGTGAAAGGTGTCAAAATGATAGTCTTTGGATTCAAGATCCTGTGTGCACATGGGTACCATTTTAACAGCTCTACTGTTCTTCAATATCAAAAATATAATATGCATTAATATCAGGAAAAATAAGTTTGAAAGAGAATTTAAAAAGTATCTTCCTTAAAGAGAATATAATTGTATAAAATACAAAAATTTTCACTGTATGTATAAATCTGTTCATTTTTGTTCTGTAAAATTTCTACCTTCAGTCCTGTCATCAAATTTGCTGTCTTTTAAGATAGATATATAAATAGGTTCCTCATATATGGAATTAGGTAAAGAAGTGATAAAGGTATATTAATTTAAGTTAGCCGCATTATGAAATTCAAAATATGGCCTTGTACAACCTTTGAAATGTAACCAGTAGGACCAAGATCTTATATCTGCAGGTAACTGACTTGGCCACTTCCAATTACTGCACTTGTTTAAAACTTTAAGAAGAACTGGAAGCCTACAAATACTTTTAGGAATCTATAAAACCAACATTGGGAGCTTAAGGTAGCAAGTATTGGTCTAAGTATTGTAATAAGTGCAATTTAACAAATTTTTATTAAACTAGCTTTATGCATAGTATATAATACTCTCTACAAAATTTAAATTAGTTCAGAGGCTTCACATTACATTATTTTAGATATGTCAAAACAGATTTACATCTTTACAACAGAAGATTCAATTAATTTATAATCTTTTATTAAATATTACAATTAATTATAAACTTAGTCCTGGATATAAACAAATCTAGGCACACAGTCCAATATTTCTTTTGAAGCTCAGTTTTTAACAAGACAAAATATTACTTATTTAAAAAGTATTGGAGATATAAATATATTCTCACTCATGCTAAAGCTGAAGACACCCAGTTATCTTCATAACTAAATTCAATGTGATCTAACCCCAGCCATATTAATAATTAAATGAAATTTAATGACATACATTATAATTAAAAGGAAGATTGTAGAATGGATTAAAATACAATTCCAACTTTTTAAATTAAAAGCAAAGTACTTTGTATATTAACAACTAAAGTTATAACTAAAACAATGTATGAACACCATGTTTAACAAATCAAATTAAAGCTGCTGTAGTTAAAAGGAGAAAAACAGATTACAGAATAAAGAATATAACCAAGCATAAATAAATCCCTGTCATAATGATAAAAAAGTGAATTCATCACTAAGAGCGCTTCAAAGTACATGGACCAAAAAGCTGTATAGAAATGGAAAAAGAATTGCAGATGTGGTGCCACACACCTGTAATCCCAGCATTTGGAGGCTGAGACAGGAGAATTGCTGTAAATTGGAAGCCAGTCTGGACAACATAGTGAGTTCAAGACCGGGCAGGAATACATAGGGAGAGCCTGTCTCTAACCACTGCCCCCCCCAATATATTTTACTATCTCTATCTTATAACATCATTCTGTAAACTCAGATATTCACAATAATATTCAGGAGGCTGGAGGATTAGCAATGCTAAGTGTTGTCAAGTATGTGAACAAATTAATGGTGGCAATGTAAAATAACAGAAACATTTGTAAGGCATTAACAAAAAATAACATACTTATCCTATAATTCAGCCTTTCCACTCCTGGGTATTTAGTAAAGAGGGAAGGGTGTTCATCCACACAAAATTGATAGATACACACTTTCTGATTTATAGATGATTAAAAAATGAGAACAACCTAATATCTATCACCATGTGAACGGATAAATAAATGTTAGTATATACATTGAATGAAAGGTTATTCACTTTAAGAATTAACTATTCATATACACAAATACTGAGATCAATCACAACATCATTGTGCTGTGTAAGAAGCCAGACTTTATTATATAAACTTCTAAAACGATGTCTAATGTATAGAGAAAGAAGACAATCAGTGGAAATAGAAAGGGACATGGAAAGTGCTGTACAGAGACATGAGAAATTCTGGGGACTTTAGATATACACACTTGCTTGATTATAGGGATAGATTGAGGGGATATATGTATTTTAAATTCTGTCACATTTTGTATTTAAAAGTACAGATGTTAGATATCAACTATATTCCATAACTGAAAAGATATATTTCTTTTCTGCTTAAATCAGCAGAGCGTTTTCTGTTGCTTTATCTTATATTTGAATAGCAAGGCATAATTTCTTCGCACAATCTTTTTCTCCATTTCTATGTCTTTCATTAACATTAAGGCAACTTCCGACTGGGCTTCCTTCCATTTTGTCCTGCTGTTACAAAATGCGCGTGCCCATACAGAGAGAGATTATTTAATTAAGAAAAAATATATATTTCTCACAGTTCTGACAGTTCTGGAGCCCAGCAAGTCCAAGATTCACGTACCAGCAAGTTCCCTGTTTGGTGAGGCTCTCTTTTCTCCATCCAGGATTCTGCCTGGAGCATTGTTTCCCAGGGGCTAGGAGGGAGCATCTTCACAAGCAGATGCTTATGTAGATGATTTCCCTCACTGAGGTCCTTTCTCTGCGACCTGATTCAGGACAGTGGCCTCATTGTGCAGTAGTCTCCAAAAGTCCACGCAGCACTATAGACTCCTCTTTTTTAAAATTCTGGACTTTAACAATTTCTAATGATGGAGAGGTTTCTACTTCGTGCAATTGGTTAATTTCCTTAGGAGGAAACGCAGAATAGCTTTCTAAAGAGAAAAGAAAAGTCATTTTTAAAGCTCTCTGTTGGTGATATAATTTTGGTTGAATTTCTGTACTTGCTTTTCTGTAGTTCTTATTTTGCAATCAAAATATTGGCTTTCTGACAGATGCTTTGAGCTTTAAATCCATTATTTTGTTTCATTCACTGTCTGCTAGACTATTTAAATAAACTTAAAAGCTGTGAAGCAGACTATCTTGATATGGGGAAGGTGGTCAGGTATAGAGTGGGAAGAGGAAGGGAAAAAGGGACAGAGAGGATGGTAAAAATTGTCAAGATTTGATTTTATATGTACCAATTTACCAAAATGAATAGAAATGTTATGTCACAATAAATGTTATGTCACACACACGGCCAGAGAGAGAGAAAGACAGAGACAGAGACATAGACACAGAGAGACAGAGATTTTAAGGCAGACTTTATTCAAAGGAACCCTAAAGAAAGGTACAGAGATCAACACAGGGTCATTTGAAAGACTAAACACTATTTCATGCTTTCTCTGGTCTTCACTATTGTTAGTTTTCACCATTCTTGACTTATTCCATTTTCCAAGAAAATCTTGACCTGTTTTGTCTTAGTGTTGTCCAGGTAGTCTGCACAGTGCATTATTTTATCATTTCTTTTCCTAATTTTTGAAGGCAAATTCAGTTTTCAAGCACTCCCTGAAATTCAGAAAGCTGCTTTACAGAGTTTGTGCCCAGTGTAATCCCATATCATTTTTAACCCTCATAGACATAGGAAGAACCAGAAACAAGTTACATTTCAAAACCTGATACTTTTATTTGAAAATTTTAAGCACATAAAAATAAAAAATATACAATACCCACCATCTAAGATATCAAAAATATATCTGAATTCCCTTATATACCACAACCATTCAAATCTCATATCTTGTATATGCCAGAAATAAAAGTTATCCAGAATTATCCAGGCACAATTTTTATATTCACCTAACTGATATATATCAACCTAAATATTAAGTAGCATTGTTTCCTACAGTATTAAGCTTTATGTAAAAAAATTCCACTTATTATGTTGCAAGTAACATAACATATTTGGTTGTGATTATTCACTGGAAATTACCAAGACTTGAGTCAATGTTGCGTCCCTATTGAATATATGTTTACATCTACCCAAGCCCCACTATAGTAACTTTCCAAAAATAACTTTTTAAAGGATGAAGGCTTTTTTGACTTATTTCCTTTTGGGGGACCTGTTCTACTCAGGTGAAGTAGAATCAGGTGAAATAGAATACTAACTCTCTTAGTATGCTTCTTTGGCCAAATGGAGGTAAGAATTTTCCAGCCAGTATGTGGTCATAGTAAATGGGTTGCAGCCTGGTGCCAGAAACAATATAGGCTTATGCAAATGTGATTTATGGAAACACTTTGACTATATTCTGACATGGGGAAATGTAGGACATCATGGCCCTAAATGGTCCTATACATAGAAAATTCATTTCCAATTTTTAATTTCACCTGCACTTGAGGACACATCTCTTGTTCCCTATTTGGTCATTATAACGCAAGGTTTGGTTTATACAATTGGCAAAAAAAAAAAAAAAAAAAAAAAGAACTTATAGCTTCAGCTGTCAGATCTGAAAGATCTGTATGATCTGTATGGCGGTATTAGCATCAAGTTTCTAGGTAGTTATTATGTATTATGCCATATTGCTAGAAATAATACTCTATGCCTAGAAGGTTTTTTTTTTATATTTTCTTTGATAATTACTCAAATATTTTAAATCATTAAATTTTCTTTCTCACAAATAGTTATTTCAAGTGACTATATGACCTAGTAAAAGTTATATTATAAATAGTGATTAACAATGCCTTGGAGATTATGTGTACTATGGCAGACACATTATTTATCAACAATTAAGTTATACACTATAGATATAATAATGTAAAGGTGGAATTACTAATATTCTAATAAAGAAATTTTGGTCTCATTTGATTTGCATTTCCAATTGCCAAGAAAAATCATCCTTTCTACTGAATTTGTGATGAACTGACCCTTTCATTGTCATTAATGCTAAACACATTCTCTTGAAAAAGTACAAGCTAACATCTTCCTACAATGTGTTCATCACTACAATCAAAAGGAGGTGAATTTACTATTTTTAAAGTTTTTTGTTTTTTTTTTTAAATCGGTACCAGGGATCAAACTCACGACTGCCTGCATATAAGGCAGGCGCTTATGCCACTGAGCTAAATCCCCAGGCCCAATTTATTATTTTTAAATAAAGATTAATAATATTTTATTTTCACTGCACTCTGTCCATATCAAGAAAAATATTACTACTTACGAGTCATCACAGCCAGATATTTCAGTCTAATTTTTTGATGGTAAATTTATGAAAATACAGACATGTGCTTAATTTCTTTTTTTAAAAAATGATGTATGATTGATAAATCTGAATTAGACCAGCAGCAGCTATAGAATGGTGATAAAGTCAGAGCAACTACATTAGTAACAGATAAAATCGTCAATTGAAATCAGTGATGGCTGAAATCAAAGAGGAAAGGATTGGCAAGTTTAAAGTGACACAGCACATGTAGGATTCCTCAGTTGGCACAAGATGGGGCTTGGTCAAATTAACAAATGACAATCTATAATTCCAGGTGACTATAATTTCCTGAAACTGTTTAACTCTGTGTAAGGTCAGATGTTCTGCAAAAGAGAACATAGAATAAACAATTATATCCAAACTACTGGAAGTTTTCAAATGTATTAGAGACACTTTCTGGTTGTTTGTTTGCGTGTTTGTTTGGTTTTGGTTTTGATTTTTGACACAAAGTCTCAGTACGTAGTTTAGGCCAGCTATGAACTCACTTAAGTAGCCTGGATTGACCTTAAACTTGAAGCAAAACTCATCTCAGCCTCCCAAGTGCTGGGATTACATGTGTACACCACCATTTCCAGCTTAGAAACACTTACCCTGATTTAAGTATTAACAATTTTCACAACAAACCTTGCAAATTGAAAGATCTGGATACACCTCATCCCAGACAGAGTACTTTATTTCTAAAGTGTTTGTTCCACTGAGTTTGACACTTTCTCAAATCTTTATATAAATATATATATAAATCAGGTGCTGAAATCTGCAAATAAAATTCATATAAAATCTATAAACTGCTATAACCTTAAGATACTATCTGTATAAAACTTATACATATGTGCAATATCTATAGATTTCTCTAACCTCCATTCTACACCTGAGAAATTAATGTAGACTAGAAAGTCTTGCTTCAAAGTCAGTGCTCAAGATTTGTGGGTAATTTGCAAGGGATCACTTTGCAAGAAGTTGCAATAATTTAGATGTTATAGTTGATTTAGTGCTAATTTTCTCTTCATCCTTCTGTACTAAGACCTATGCTCCACATTTCAGTCATAAGAAAGTAAAGTTCATATTAAGTATTCCATACATTTAACCTGCATAATATATTCTCAGCTAATTCAGATGGGATACTTCTTTCAACAGCAGCCCCTTAACTTAGGTACCAGTTAGAGACCACTATCCATAAAAGCAAAAATGTAAGATTTGTTGGGACAAAGCATTGCATTTTTAACACTAAAATACTTCTCTTAGTGAGTGCTGCCACCTATCAACTCATGAATTCATGGATACATGGACAAGAGCTGTTAAAACATTTTTGTAATGAGGGGATAAAATTGGTGGCAGCAGTATCAAGTTTGATAATGTTTAGTTTATAAAGTCATTTTGACAACTATTCTCAGTGTGTCAGGCTTATGTTGGGTCACTGCCTGCCTTTACTGGAAGGAGTCGTGCCACATTGACAATTACTCCTAACTTTCAGCTACAAAAAGTTTGTTTTCACTGAATGGGAGCCAAAGATTGAGAATAGAATCAAACTTTTACAATTCCCAGTCTTCAATGCAAATAGGCTGGGAGGCCAGGTAAAATATTACAACTACCTGGGAACAAGCTGCTGTAGAACATCTATGGTCCAAATCTCAAACCAATTAATCAGATATCTCTTGATTCCAAAAGTTCCTCATATGAACCGCTTTTAACCTGCAGCCATGATGGAGAAGCTGCCAGATAGAGAGGTTGAGTCAATATTTAAAATCTTTGAGGTCTACTCCACCAAGATAGTAGACCTTTCCATATAAATTTACACTCATAGAAAATGCTAAACTCGTCTTACCCTTTCAGTGCTGTTTAACGCCACTGCCTCTTTTATGGGAGACAGTTGTATAAATTCAGAGTATTTGAAATGAGTACTTTGAAGAATTACTATCTGTGATCACTTGAAAACAAATGAATGTTTAAAATGATTGTTTCCTCCATCCTTCCTCTTACATTAAAAGTGACAAAAAAATCTTAAAATAGATTTTTCAAATACAGCATGTTTCTCTGTAAACTATGTTTCCTAATTATAGCTACTACAATGGAGTTTTTATTTTAATTGAATGTTTCATTACGACAAAGGATTCAACCTGCAGAGCTATCCTTCTCGAAATTATTAGTCTGAAGAAAATATTCTGGATATTTTACAAGGCTCAAAATGATGCATACTATAACCCATTGAATAGTGCTCCCTAAAAAATAGTTTCTGTAAATAATATTCACTTCCATGAATGAATGGAGAGGTGTTCCTTTTAAACATCATGTTTCTGAACAAATCTTCTTGTCCTTGCCTAATTAAACTTCAAATATGATTCTGAGTTTGGAAACACACACACACACACACACACACACACACACACACACACA